CTTCAATACTGCATCTTGAAGCCTTAATATTTTTTTGGTTGTTTCAGCTTAAAGAATACTGAACTTGTTCTTTCCTTCCTTTTAGTTTTTTGTTTAACTCTAGTGCTTTGTACATTTCACTAAACCAATTTATTCACTCCTCTTGAGCTATCCTTTGAAATCTCTTCAGGTCTTTCACTTCATAATTTCTTCCATATGCTGTAGATTCTCTATATTCAAGAGCAAATTTAACAGCCTCTTCTGATATGCACTTTGGTCTTTACTTCCTTACCTTTCTTTTTCATGATTTTGCTTTCTTCACGTTGTGTCCTAGATGTCATCCCACAACTCGTCTTTTCTTTGACCTTTAGTGTTTAATGTCTCAAGTTTATTCTTGAGATCATCTCTAAATTCACGTAGGGATATGTTCAAGGTTATATTTTTGTTCTTGTGAATTTTTAATCTATTTATTTATTTATTTCAAATTCAACTTATTTATTTAATGTTGCATAGTAGTCTGATTCATAGTTGTCCCCTGGCCTTGTTCTGACTGGTGATTTTGAGATTCACCATTGTCTCTTTCTATAGCTATAGTAGATTTGACTTCTGTATATTCCGTCTGTTGAGGTCTACAAGTACAGTTGCTGTTATTTTATTTATAAAAAGCTCTTTGTGGTGAATAAATTGTTGATCTTGCAAAATGTTATCATGAAATATATAGTGTCCTTTCTATCACCAAGTTCATACTTTCTAACTACTGATATTTCTTTCTTTCCAAATTCTCTTTTTAATCTCTGTTGTATTCAGGTTATTATAATGATTCTTAGTCTCTGTGGAGGAGAAATCACACGCCTATTTGAAGGTTCTTGTATTTATTCTTAATTCTCATAAAAAAAATTAGCATTTGCCTCAAAACTTTTGGATTCTGACCTCAGCAGATACCTCAAATGCCAGTACCTAGAAAGACCATTGTTCCCATTTCTTACTGGGGCTGTTTCCATTCCTTCTAAATGAATTCCCTACACATACATTTGATTGTAACTTTGTTCATCTCAGATCATCCATGTAATGTCTAGAAACACACACTCTGTCACTCGACACTCTACTGGCTTCTCATCTCACCCACTACCAAACAAATCCTCATCATGGCTTAGCATTTGACATACAAATGCCTGCATGTCCTATTTTCATCCTTCTTTTGACCACTGTTTTGAAAACTTAGGGGTCCTTGCTATTTTCCTAGAAAATCTAAATATGTTTTCATTCTAGGGCTTTTTATTTGCTGTTCATTTTAAGGTAGAATATTCCTTAACCAGGCCTGTTCAAATATTGCTTATTTGTAGGGGCTTTATTGAAATCTCATAAGTACATGGTCATGGTCTTTCTATCTCCTTATTCTATTTTATTTTCGTCATTGTTACATACATTTATATTGCATATTTGAGTTTACTATCACCCAAAAAATTTTAACTCCATGATAATAGAGTCTTACATGTTTTAGTCACCAGTGCTTCTCAATATCAATAGCCCTACAATAAAATAGAAAATGGGTGAATATTTTTTAAGTGAATAAATGTGTCATGCTGATGGTAAAGGCAATTTTTATCTATTAGGTCACTGATTTTTATTTCTACAAAGTTGTTATAAACAGCCTATGACCCATCTAAGAGTTCTGGTGGTATAGTATCTAAGGCATTTGGCTGCTAACCAGAAGACTGGCAGTTCAAAACCACCAGCTATTCCTCAGAAGGAAGATTGGGCAATCTACTTCAATAAAGATACTACCTTAGAAGCCCAAGGAGGGGTCACTATGAGTTGGAAACATTTGCTACTACCATCCCAGCTAGTATTCTCATTTAAAGATATCATCCATCTGCTATATTCTCTGATGTTGCATTTAATTTTCACAGTTAATATTTGTCAAGGAGACAGCTATATAGCTTTTTCCACTTTTATATCACAAATTTTCTCACAATCTTATTCATGCTTATCAAAGTTCTGTGAAGTGGCAGTTGATTTTAAGTTACAGATTGTGAAGAACTTTAACAAATTTTAAAATGCAGATCTTTCTTTTTTTAAAAAAAATCAATAATCCCACATTACTACTTGAATTGATACTATGGATGAAATATAGCATCAGGGTTCTCCATTCAGACAAAACACATAATATATATAACTAAGGAAATGTCACAACTAGACTGAGTAAAGGATAAAAGCATGTGTTTGTTAGAAATTCAAGAAGTGTCACAATCATAGCTCATTTTTGTTTAGGAGATTGAGTTGAGGGAAAAAAATTACAAAACTGAAGTGACATAAACATAAAAATGAGCCTATAAAATGTTGAGTTACAGTATTTCCATGAAAGACTAGCATACAAAGCTAGAAAAATTCAACAGTAAGGAAAATTTCATTTCTTCTTGATTTCCATATTCTAAATAATTTATATTTGACTTTCATTACATTACTTAATGAGGTTCTAATAGGATAATTCCAAACATATTTAAGTTATAAATCAATGTAGAATTCAGAGCACACTCTGCTTGTACCAGCTTCTTTGGTTGAACAGTTTTGTGACTACTCTGCTGAAAGCAAACTATAGGAATAAAGCACTCTTTATCTCCATATGGGTTTCAGGGTGGTGGATAAAGTATAAGAGCTAGGCTACTTATCCAAAGGTTGAAGATTCAAGTCTATCCAAAGGTGTGTTGAAAGAAAAGTTTGACGATCTAATTCGGAAAACTCAGCCATTGAAAATCTATGGAGTACAATTCTATTCTGACAAATGCAGAGTCCTTGAGAGTAAATAATAAACATTTTTTTTAATATCAATATGCAATTTAAATTGAGATAAATTAGATACTGTACACACAATCATTAACAAAACAATGAGTAAATGTGAGGTAATAATATAATTAGAAATTTGAAGCGAGAAGATATATAAGTTTGGATTTAATTGCTAATTGTATTTGAGAAAGTTATTCTTCATATCTACGAATACTAATATTCATCTAAAAAAAAGAGTAGGTATTCAGTGCTAAAATTATAGAATATGAGCGGATGATTTAACAAACCAAGTAATGTGGAAAAAAAAAAAAAAGACTTATATGTCTCAAAGTTTCCAGTTTATACTAGTTTTAATCTCCCTACTCTCTGTTATATGAGCCCTGGTGATGTAATTGTTAAAGCACTCAGCTGCTAATAGAAATGGTGGTGTTCAGCATTTCGAACCCATCACCTGCTCTGTAGGAGAAAGATGAGGTAGTCTTATTCCCTAAAGATTTACATTCTTGGAAACCCTGTGGGGCAGGTCTACTCTGTGCTGTAGTGTCACTATGAGTCAGAATCAACTATACTCCAATGAGATTGTTTGTTTTATCTCCTATTATATCACCAATGACATTATTGATGAGAATGCTGTAATAAAATGATGATATGTAAATTATATAATATGGCTTTTCCACATGTACTTTATCTACATACAGAAATTAAAGCTGAAAAATCTACAGATTTGATTTCAAGTTCTGCAGGGCTTCAGAAAATGGAAACATCATTATAAATGAGATCCTATTCAAATAATATTATATAAATATTTATTAGGGTGTAAAGGATCCCTGGTGAGGCAGTTATGAAATGCTTGATTGCTAATCAAAAGGATAGAGGTTCAACTCCACCCAATGACTCTATAGCAGAAAGATCTAGCAATATGATCCTGTAAAGGTTACAGTCTAGAAAACCCTATGAGATAGTACTTCTCTGTCACATGGCATTTCTATGGCTAAAAGCTGCTTAACAGTAACTAACAAAAACAATAGGGCATGCTGTACATTTACAGTTCAAAGACACTAATTTCAAATGATGGTTTCTCTTTACGAAAAGGCAAAAAAGTGATAAAGAACATTACTGAATAGTCAGGAAGGAGCAAGATTGTCTGGCCAGATAACGGCAGTTAAAAAAGGCAGAGCAAAATGTCATAGTGCTGGAGAAGGCTGGATAATAAGGACATAGAGTATCAGCATACAAAAAGTTTCTGAGTTATATGTGTCAGTTATCATTGTAAATATGCCCTCTGCTGAGGAAATTCAGGATATGGGTTGTGCAAACAGTTAAGGAGTCAGAAGCTAACCAAAGTCTGGTAGTTGGAATCCACATAGAAGTGCTTCCAGGTGATTTCCTTTAGAAAAATCTGCTTCCAAAAAACCCTGTGGGGCACAGTTCTATTCTGACACATGAAGTAGACATAATACACAGAACTGACTCCACAGTAACTTTTTTTTTTTTTTTTTAATGATTGTGACTCTTTGAAAAATCATGCCCAATGAGCCTGACAAAGAGTCATTTTTAGAAGGGGAAACTTTAAAAAATACTCTTTGTTTTTGGTGTGTATGGTACTAGACTTTTATACTTAAAAAAACATTTTTCCCTTTATGACTTGTTGATATGCTTACTGGAGAATACATGGAGAAATATTTGAGATGTTCAGTACAGATACTGAATTTTTTAAATTTGAAGAGTTGTAAGTAAAAAATTGATTCCAAACAAACATTAACAAATTTTAAATTCATTTTTTTCATATTTAAAACATTTTTATTGTGGTAAAATATGTATACCATAACATTGGCCATTTCAACCATTTTTAAGTATGCACTTCAGTGGCATTAATTTTATTCCCAATGTTGTGCAACCTTCACCACTGTTGCCAAAAGTTATTTTTTTAATATATTTTTTTATATATTTTTTTTACTTTTTATTGTGCTTTAGTTGCAAATTTAGAGCAGAGTTTGTTTTACATTCAACAATTCATGCACATTTAGTTTCACTCCCCATTTACCATCCCCAACCCTAACCCAGTCTCCTTCCCTCCTTGCCCAGTAATCACATTTTCTCCAGGCAAATGTTGCTCCTCTCATAAGGGGAAAAAAAATATATATATAAAAAAAAAAAAACAAAAACATGTTCTTGTTTTGTCTTCCTTTATCTTTTTTTAATTTTTTCTTTCCAGGAAGTTAAAACATTACGTTTTCATGGAGAAACAGAATCAAACTTCAAATGATTTTATTTTGTTGGGACTTTTCCCCAAAAATCAAACAGGACTGCTACTCTTGTTCTTTATCATCCTTGTATTCTTTCTGGCCTCACTGGGTAACTCAACCATGATTCACCTCATCCGCGTGGATCCTCATCTCCACACACCCATGTATTTTCTCCTAAGCCAGCTGTCCCTCATGGACCTGATGTACATCTCTACAACTATCCCAAAGATGGTGCTCAACTTCCTCTCTGGCCAGAATGGCATCTCTTTCCTAGGATGTGGGGTACAAAGTTTCTTCTTCTTGACAATGGCCTGTTCTGAAGGCTTACTCTTAGCCTCCATGGCCTATGATCGTTATGTGGCCATCTGTCACCCTCTCCATTATCCCAACCGTATGAGTAGAAGGATGTGTGTCCAGATGATCACAGGATCTTGGATCTTGGGATCCATCAATTCCTTGGCACACACAGTCTATGCCCTTCATATTCCTTACTGCCAGTCCAGGGCCATTGATCATTTCTTTTGTGATGTCCCAGCCATGTTGCCTCTTGCATGTATAGACACCTGGATCTATGAGTACATGGTTTTTGTGAGCACTAGCCTCTTTCTCCTCCTTCCTTTCCTTGGCATCACTGCTTCCTATGGGAGAGTAGTTTTGGCTGTTTTCCATATGCGCGCCAAAGAAGGAAGAAAAAAGGCCTTCACCACCTGTTCGACACATTTAACTGTAGTTACCTTCTACTATGCACCATTTGTTTATACATATCTTCGGCCTAGGAATCTCCGCTCACCAGCAGAAGATAAAATTTTGGCTGTTTTTTACACTATCCTCACTCCCATGCTTAATCCAATTATCTATAGCCTGAGAAATAAAGAAGTCCTGGGGGCCATGAAAAGAGTGTTTGGAACATTCTCTTCCAAGAAAGAATAGTCATGATTCTCCTTACTCTGTTTTCTTTATTCCCTTTTCCATGTTGATTAGAAAATGCTAGAGAAGTCCTGTTTGATCAAATATAACAGGAGCCACATAAGTTATTTATAATTATCTGGTAGACACATTGCAAAGGAAAATGAAAGTTAAATTAATTTAAGGATACTTATTTAACTCCACACATTAATACTATTATAACTAATGTAAATATTATCTACATTGATGTTCTATATTACATTATTATATCCATTTAGTATGCATATAATATATGCTATATTACAGATAGTATAATATGTTTCCTGCTTATATTACTATTTCTATAATAACATTATATTATTTTATTGAAACATTCTTATTTGTACATCTATATAAAAGTGTTAATGTGATATTTGTATGTTGTTTTCATTATCTTGTGTGTATTTTATATTTTAAGCATCTTGCAATTTGGTTTATGCACATTTCAAGAGTCTGATAGTCAGATGGGGCAAATGGCAATAATGTTGGCAGCACAACTCTTGAGAATCCAGTAAAATATTTTGAAAAAAATGTATGTGTCATGCATAAAAATATTATCTGATGTATATATTATGGGTGATGGTTTGTAAAGTAAACAAATAAGCATATAATTTAGTGTTTATATGAATCTATTTGATTTGCCCCCTTTTTTAAAATCATGTAATTGTGATTTGGGTGAAAGTTTACAGAGCAAATTCATTTTCCACATAAGAGTTCATACACATTTTGTTTCATGACATTTATTGCAATGTTTTACTCTTTTTTTAGCACATATATCTTGATTATAATTGACGTCTAGAGGTCATCTTGCCCCAATCACCTTTTACAAAAAATTTTGGAGGGATCTTGTTTGGAGTCACTTTGTGGCACAAAATGTTAATGTGCCTAGAAGTTAACTGAAAGTTTGGTAGTTTGAGTCTACCCAGCAGTCCCTCAAAAGGATGGCCTACCTCCAAAAGATCCTGTGTAATACAATTCTACTGTAACACACAAGGAATCTCCATGAATTTGAATAAATTCAATGGCAACTATTATTTTTTACTCAGAATTTTTCTTATTTCAACTGGATTGACCCCAAAAGAATATCTCCAAGACATATCATAATCAAATTCACCAAAACTAAAGACAAAGAAAGAATCCTGAGAGCAGCATGGGAGAAATAAAATGTTATCCACAAATTGCAATCAATAAGA